TGCCGCCGAAGAGACGGTCTCAGTTTCCATTTAACATGAGAGCATGAGCTCCAAGTCCCTAAACCATTACAAAGAAAGTTAACCCTTAAATCCCTCCATCAGAGCTTGCGGCTCTGCCATACCACGATCCTACAGAAGCTCTTCAACCGTAGAAGCCACAGAACCAAAAAAACTAGACCAGGACCTCACGAGAACCCAAGACAAATTCGAGACAGCAAGTGTATATCTAGACCTTGAATCGTATCCCCAAGGGTCCAATGGTCGGTTTTGGCGATAGTAGTTATGTAGGTTAGGATTTTGGAGAGAAAATGATTACTGGATACTTGGACCCATGGGGTAGTCGGACACAGTCCTGCCATGCAAGTCCTAAATGCACCCTACACCCTAGCTGAAATCAGCTGTACGTGGTGCGTCTGGGCACACAAAGTGCCCTAAACCCTTAAACCCCTAAACCGTAAATCCATAAACCCTATACCCCTAAACCCTTAAACCCCTAAATCCCGAAGCCCATGGACCCTTGCAGAAAAGATGCCTGAGTAGACCGTGACAGCGCCGCCGGTCTTGATGGATTTGTTGGACGCCTTGCTCACAGCTTTTCCTCTCTCTGTCTCTCTCGCTCCCTCCCCCCCTCTCCCTCTATATATACAGACAAAAATACCTACGCATACCCAGAATTTTGAAAAGCCTGAGACATCTGCCTGTACTTTACACATGTGCACATGCTGTCTGCACGTAAGCACAAACACATTTCCATAGTCAGGTGTAGGTTGCTCATCAACAATTTCGGGCGTGTTTGTATTCAGTTCAGTTTTAGGATCCACTGCGGCTTGAAGATCTTATCAACCTGCGTGACAAGCAGTGGTTTGGGGTTTAGGGTTTAGGTGTGGAGTTCCGAAACCCCCCGGTGAATAAGGGTTGGTGCGGTGAATAAGCCCAAGACCTTTGCTGCACTAGCTTTTGGCAGCAGGTCCTGCAAAAGTAGGGTGCGGTTAGACACGAGGTCAGTGTAGGTTTTGCGATAGTTTCTGATCCTGGCTGTGGACTTCCGAAGCCCTCTCGGGAGCGTAGCAGCAAGGACCGAGGTTGCTGCCATTGCGCCGCACTTACATTCGGAGGCCTATCTCTACATTCTAGGGTGCAGTCAAATATCGTTGGGGGAGTCGGATTTGTCACAACAGTTTTGGGTGTATTATACTGATACAAGCCTATGCTATAAGGACATATCGATATCGATAAACCCTGGTGTAGGGCTTTTGGGCTGGGTTTATGGTTTAGGGAGTTTAAGGTTAAACGCTTCTGGGTTTGGGGGGCGGCTAGGATGTATGGTTTCGTTTCGGGCTTCTGGCTTCTGGACCTGCTGAGTCTGCTGGGGCTAGCCTTCCCTTCATACCTAGCTCGATAATTAAGCCCAGTGGCTCTGCTTCCACAACCAGACCGAACCTTAATTACCGAGCTAGCTCGGTAATTAAGCCCGGCGGCTCTGCTGCCGCAAGCGGGCCGGACCTTAATTACCGAGCTAGCTCGGTAATTAAGCCGGGCGGGACTACCATGCTGCCGCTAATTCCGGGGGCTTAATTACCGGGCTCCTTAATTACCGAGCTAGCTCGGTAATTAAGCCTTTTGCAGAAGGGGTTCGGCGCTACTTTCTGGCCCGAATCCTGCTGCAAAAAGCTTAATTGCCGAGCTAGCTCGGTAATTAAGCCCGGAGCTCCGGTAATTAAGCCCGGAGCTCGGTAATTAAGCCCCCAGGCTCGGGAATTAGCAGAAACAGTGACTCAATGGTAGTTGTCGGGCCGCAGGGCTTAATTGCCGCGCTAGCTCGGAATTGAGGTCCGGCCCGGCAGCAGAGCCACCCGGCTTAATTACCGAGCTCGGTAATTAAGGTTCGGTCCGGTTGCGGCAGCAGAGCCACCCGGCTTAATTACCGAGCTAGCTCGGTAATTAAGGTCCGGCCCGGTTGCGGCAGCAGAGCCACCGGGCTTAATTACCGAGCTAGCTCGGTAATTAAGGTCCGGCCCGGTTGCGGCAGCAGAGCCACCGGGCTTAATTACCGAGCTAGCTCGGTAATTAAGGTCCGGCCCGCTTGCGGCAGCAGAGCCGCCGGGCTTAATTACCGAGCTAGCTCGGTAATTAATCCGGCCCGGTTGCGGCAGCAGAGCCACCGGGCTTAATTACCGAGCTAGCTCGGTAATTAAGGTCCGGCCCGCTTGCGGCAGCAGAGCCGCCGGGCTTAATTACCGAGCTAGCTCGGTAATTAAGGTCCGGCCCGGTTGCGGCAGCAGAGCCACCGGGCTTAATTACCGAGCTAGCTCGGTAATTAAGGTCCGGCCCGCTTGCGGCAGCAGAGCCGCCGGGCTTGATTACCGAGCTAGCTCGGTAATCTAGGTCCGGCCCGGTTGCGGCAGCAAAGCTACCGGGGTTAATTACCGAGCTGGGAATGAAGGGAAGGCTAGCCCCAGCAGACTCAGCAGGTCCAGACGCCAGAAGCCCAAACTAAACCATAAACCCTAGCCGCCCAAGCCCTAAACTCCTAAGCCTAAACCCCAAACCCAGAAGCGTGTAACTTTAAACTCCCTAAACCATAAGCCCAGCCCAAAAGCTCCAAACCAGGGTTTCTCAATATCCTTATGTCCTTATAACATAGGCTTCTAGTATCAGTATGATATATCCAAAACTGTTGTGACACATCGAACGAATCCAGCGATCTTTGACTGCACCCTTTCATGTAGGGATAGGCCGCCAAAGGTAAGTGCGGCACAATTCCCGCAACCTCACTCCTTAATTACTGCGCTCAAAGGGGGGTTTCGGAACTCCACAGGTTTAGGGATTGCTACACTAAGTACAGCCGACATATTGTGGTCGCACAACAAACTGGCACGGTTATAGACGCCGAAAACGGTGTCTGAGATAGTAGGGTTGTGGAATTCGCGATATGACCGACCGCTCCTATGGATGGGCCAAAGTCACGCCACATACTAACAAATCAGCCGCTGAACTCCCTTTCGAATTCTTAGGACTACAAAGTCGGAGTCGGGGGTGTGCCGAAAGAACATGTGGAGGGCAGGGTTTAGTAACAAGGATCCTGATATCAAGGCCAAACAAGCAGGCTATTCATCAGGGGCCTACATTAACAAAGCCCTCAACCCTAAACCACTAACCGACCTACCCCGCCACCACCGGCACGCCGAAAAGCAACCAAGGCAAAATCCACGGGCCTCAATTAGCAGAGTAGGGTTTGCGGGCATAATATTATCATTATATAGTATAATTAGTTAGGAACAAGGAAGACAAAATGACTAACATTACTAAATGGTCTTTCAGGCCCCTAACCATAAACCCTAAACCCTAAACCCCTAAACCCCTAAACCCTAAACCCCTAAACCCTAACCCTAAACCATAAACCCTAAACCCCTAAACCCCGTAAACCCTTGAACTGAGGCAGTCGCCAGCCCTTCGACTCCTTTCTTTCGCTTCTTCACCTCGCCCCGCGGCTAATTTAGGGTTTAGGGTTCGAGGGTTCGAAGAATCCGAAATCTCTGCGCCCCTCCTCCGCAGAGACTTGAGGGTTTCTATAGGGTTTATAGGGAGATAGGGGTAACGCACAAAACCCCCCAATAAACCTAACCCCCCGCCCCCTTCCCAACCAAACCCTTACCTGGACCCTCCAACTATAGCAAAATAACAGCCTCATCCCAAGAAGCGCCCTTTGAGGCTACAACCCTTCAGAATAGCCATTGTGGCTGAACTTGGTTTTACAGGGTGATGTGTGTGGCTGTTTTTCTTGCGACAGGCATGGAGCTCAGTTCGACAAGCCTTGGATCTATCAAGGTCTTTATAATGGGTTTCTAGCAAAGCCGAACTACATGAGATCCATCGGTTGGTTTCTTCGAGAGCCTTTGTCAGACTCCAAACCCATGCAGCCACCTGCAAGCAACCATCCAAGCTATCCAAGCTCGCTTTTGTATGCCCTTCATCGGGCAATGGGCTTCGACGCTGAGCCCTGGATTCGTGCGCCCAACTGACAGTTGAGCTCATTGGTCTGCTGGTATGTTGCTGCATGAAGCAATGCTGTGCTTGTCGCAACATTGGGGCCCGAGTTCACATGTGACTTGCAAGATCAACAGAATAGCAGATTAATAGATTAGACAAACCTAGATCTCGAAGTGAGCTGATGGCTTTCTACATCAAGAAAGTGACGGATGAGGTTGTGTTGGAGAAGTTACAGTCTACAGGTGCTTGGTGCTTGGGTTTTGTTGGGGAAGCTTCGGCATCAGTGGTGGTGTTTCAGCTGGTTTCGGTTTCTATAGTCCTATAGATGCAGGCTTGGCCCTCCAGCCGGACAAGTTTTGGGAGAAGAGCCTGCATGCACTTGGCCACGACAAGGCTTTTTGCTCAAGCAAGCTCTCCAGCATGTGCACTTGTCACGCAATGCTACCTAAGGTTGCAACCACTCGTTCTTGGAATGAGAGGATCAACGATGTCATCGAGAACTTTAAGAAAGGTGGCATATGCAAGCAGATTGCTCAAGAGAAAGATGCAGACTGATTCGTGGCTCACCCTCATATAGTTCACATGGTACTCAAAAGGGTTGCTCCCAAAGTCATCTCAGAGACTCAGCAGCCCAGGTGCAGCTGCCTTGGATGAGTGCAGATCTCGAGAGGTCACATGAAGTGCGGGTCATGAGAAAAATGGGACATCAACTGTGCTGCTACGTCTGAGCTTCCTACATGTATATATATATATATATCGAAACCGCCAAAGCCGTTGCTGATGCCAGGTACTCTTTGGACCTATGTGCTGGATGGGTGGCTTGTTGGGTCACGGTGCCTTTCTCAGACATCCCTGCTTGCAGAAGTAGCTCCCATGATCAAGTCCTGCATGGTTTCTGTGCTGTCTGTGTTTGCTTGCATGAGTGCTGCTTTCAAGCTTGCATGTTTCTCATTGAGTGGCTCATCTTTTGCATCGTGCCGCCTATCCTTGTGGTCTTCGCTTAAGTCAACATGCCACAAGTGAGAGCCCGTGAACCAGAGCCTGAAGGTGAACCTTCGGGGGAGGAAGAAGTGGTTATCGGTGGCATGGACAGCCAGAATGGAGCCGATGGTGTGCTTCGTGTGAAGTGGACGGCAGGAAGCCTTGCTAAAGCCTGGGAAGAGAATAACGTCTTGAGGGCCAGGGGTCGAGCCTCTCATTCCATTACAAAATGGGCCGATGCGAAGAGCAAGGGCATCGCCAGCATGACTTCGATCATGCACAATGCTGATGCCTTGTATCTTCTGGCAAAGCTTTGGTGCCCATTGGTTCCGGTGGCGAAGGCGCCGTCAGTGAACCTTGTTCGGAGTGAGCTCCGGTCCTGGCGCCAGGAGATGCAGCTCCAGGATGATGCGGTGATTTTGCATCTTGATTCCTGGGGATTGCGAAGGCTTTTTTCTCTCGTCATCCGGCGGCGAGGTGCAAGCAGGAAGCGCCGTGACAGCATGACAGAGGCCCTTTTCGAGATTGTGTGCCGCTATTGGGGGAATGGCCTTGATGTGAATGAAGCTGAGCCTGAAGGAGAAGACGGGCAGGTGCCACCAGCAGCTGAGGTGGATGAGTATCCGAACCCCGAGGAGTTGTCTGAGGATGATTCAGACAACTCGTGGAGAATCGAGATTGAGCAGCCGAAGCTCGAAGATGTGGCAGGTGATGACGAGGCTTTGGATGGTGAAGATGCCACCATCTTTTATGAGCCTGACAATCTTCAGTTGATGGATGACATGGAGCTCCAGGATATGGAGGCCAATCTACTTGAGCAACTTCGTGCTCTAAGGTACCTTGGCTATGGGTTGGAATGCTATATTATTGACTATATAGTGCTGTATCCCTCATGCCATGAGACGTGCTTGTAAACTCATCTAGATAAGGATTGGATCATTCAACCCGGACAATGTTGAGACGCAGGTGGACATCCCCACCCCATCTACCCTGCCACATGCCAGATCCTTCTTTGAAAGGAACGATGACCTGGAGACCAGCCCCCCTTCAGTGATCACCCCATCGCCCAAGAACTTGCTTCCATCATTGCACGATGTGGAAACCCCCGAAAAAGCCCTTCCACCCCAGGAGGTGGAAGTGGCTGCAGCCAGCAAAGACCCTCCGCCCCAGGAGGCAGAGGCCGCTGAGCCTGATCCTGAGGATTTTCTCCTGGAGTTTCAAGGCCATGCCAGCCGCAAGGACCAAACGGCTATCAAGCGCGAGAACAAGAAGAAGGCAGCTGAAAAAGCAGCGAAGAAGGCCGAAGATGCGGCAACCAACAAGAAGCACGTCGAGCAGGGCGTTGGTCGTGGCAAGGGCACCAAAGGTGGCAAGAGTGCCCCCTTTGTGGCTGAGAGCTCGGATGAGCCTCTCAGGAAGAGGTCCAAGCATGAGGACGATTGGGAGAGCCTCGACGGGCTTTGGCAGCACCATGATGTGGCGAGCGATCAGTGGTGGCAGTGGAATCCTGAGCAGTGGACTTGGGAGCCCATGGTCGGTGACACAAAGGCTGAGGAGAAGGATGATGATGAAGAGGAGAAGCAGGATGAGGAGGAGGAGGAGGTTGAAAGGGAGACCTGCTTCGCCCGCCGGCCTCCTCCAAAGACCAAAAAATGCTACGAGCGATGGTCGGCGATCAGAGATGCCTTCGATCAGCATGTCACCCCACTGGTGAGATTCCCCAGCAAGTACCAGGACCAGAATGCACATGTGGGTTCAAATGCCGTGTTCTTTACAAGTTGTTGTTCTTTAGTTCTTTTCCCATTATCATTGTCTGGTCTTATTAAAAACATTCGATTGCTATGCTACGACTACTCGAGAAGTCTATGTAAAGCTGTGTGCCCGATTATATTTTGCTCCTACGTTACAGGACCCTTTCTGGAAAGCTGCCACGAAGTACTTCAAGGAGCGAGCTGACGACTTGCAGGATGGGTCTGCAGATTTCCTTAGCTTAGCACAGAAAGCTGCGAAGCGCTTTGCAAAGACTCTTCCTCAGTGAGTTTACAACACATTTTGTGTTCATGATGAGCCATGCGACTTTCTTCTGCTCCTGGGAGCAGTTGCTTAATTGGCTGCGGGTTGCAGGTATTCCTGCAAAGATCCTGCTGTGCTGACATGGGGCTCATGTTTGAGATGGGGACTTCGTCGTCGCTGCTGTGATGAAAACAATACTGCATCGGCACTGTCAGCTCTCACACCGCGATGGCTTTCTGAGTCAGTTCTCACATCCAAAACCAGGCCTAGGCCCAGAACCCCAATTACATGATTATATTATACTATCTAAGCCCCTATAAACCCAAAGCCCTTATGAAACTATACCCCCCGCCCTAGCCTAATTCTAATAATCCCGAACCCCTCATAAAAGTAAAGCTGGCAGAACCTCTTGCGCAAAGACCCAAACACAGGAGAACCTAAACCCGAAGCCCTATATTGGCCCCCCTCTGACTCTCAAATCGTGTCCCGGAAGAATTGCCCAATTCCCTGTCTGCCATCAGGTGCTTTGCTGGATGCCACCGAAAGCCGGCTTCCGCAGAGGCCAATCCTTTCTTGCCCGGTATGGACAAGTGGGAATGTCTGGCACGCTTATTCAAACGAGTCTTGCGGGGGTTCTGCATGATTACACAACGGTGCCTGCATGATGTGGTGCTTTTCAGCTATACGTATGTCGATCTGTGCATGTGAGCCCGCAAACACGATTCCTGAATGCATCCTGAATATATAGTCCAGTTGACAATCCAAGCCACAGCAGTGTAGCTGCATTCGCCATGACGACGGCCAAACAGCTGAACCTTGCGCTGAGAAGGTTGGTTTCTCTAGGTGTCCCCAAGGACACTCGTGTGATTGTGTTGTAACGCAGCCCACTCCTGTACCCTTCAATCCTTCTTTAAATGATATGCTTTGCAGGAGTTCATTGCCTGTGTCCTCCTGGTCTCTTTTACGAGTTACATTAATCTGCAGCCGGAATGCCCGCTGGAAGTACTGGAATTTTTCAGTGGCCATGCGGCGATTGCCCGCACGGCTGAAGCAAATGGCTACACTTCGGCTGCAATAGATCTACTCTATGATGAGAAGAGACATGAACGTGAGATCCATGGTAAGCGGTCTCCGTTTGATCTGAACAGTGATGCTGGTTTTGCGCTCCTCAGCTAAAGTTCCTTCGAACCCCTTTTTCAAGCGGCCCTATAGATACCTTTCACTCCCAGGTTGGCAATCACTCTGGTTCTTCAAGGGGCCTGGTCGCAAGTGTCTTGCTTCTTTGCCACTTGTTGCAGCTCTTTCGTTATCATCAACAGTGGCACTTCTAAGAGAGATGTACTCCTTCCAGAGGGTTCGAATGCAATTCCTTCCGTGCGGTCTGCGAACAAGCTTCTATCGAGGACAGCTCTATAGCCGAATTTCTGTTGTTAGTCAGACGTATGTGCTGAAGTGTTATAAGAGGTTTGTTTTGGGGCTCTGTTCAGGACTGTGTTATTGATGGCATTAGCCATCTCGATGGGTGGCACCGTCTTTCTCGAGAATCCAGCATCCAGTTGCATCTTCTTATGCAAGTGGTTCCTTTGGCTGGTACGGGCCTTGAAAAAACAACGTTTGCCGGTGCTTTGGCTAAACAAATATCGTGTAAGTTTCGCGGCTATCAACTGGTGTTGTGCTGGAGCTGTTCTGTACCTAAGATGTACCGTGCCTCTTTCTGGATGAAGCACTGGGGTGCTGCGACGTGGAAGCGGACGGTGCTTGTGTCCAATACACGGTGTGTTGGCCAGTTTGATCGAGGACCTCTTCGACGCAAAGTGAGCTGTCACTTCAAGAGTGCCAAACACTACAAAGATAAAGCAGGTAAGAAGTGCTACACAGGGACGCGGTTTCTGAAGCAAACGGGGCCCCTGGGCTGCTTCGTGGACATGTATAGTATAGCTGCATGTTCAATATATACGCTTGTCAAAATCCTCATGTTTCTGATCCCAGGCAATATCCTGCTGGCTTTGCCTCGAAGTTCGTGTCGCTGCTGCCACGTCTGCAAGCCAGATCGGTGGAGTTCCTCGCAGCTCTTGCCTTGGCTAGCTCAATATACGCACATGCTTCTAGACAACCCTGTAGTGCTTGCTGGGCTGCAAGTAGACTACAGGACTGTGGCGATGCTCCTCTACAACAGCTTGTGTCGCAGATGTCCAGTGACACCTTGTGGCTTGATTCTGGTTTGGCTGATGTATGCAAATATCTTCGTTTCGGCAAATATTTGGAGATTCCTGCTGCTTGGTCCTCACATGAACTGTTTGCCAGCTCTGTCTAGTCAACACAAACAGAGGACCCAAATTCAGGCCTTTGTGGACTGAGGAAAGTGTTCTTGGACACACGCCAGCCCCAGCAGGTCTTCTGAAAAGGAAGTCATGGAGGGAGATGGGCCCTATATAGAACCTCCATACCTACGCTTAAACCCTTTATAACTCTGACCTCTATAAAGCCTGTATAAAAGCCCTATAAAACCCTATATTATATCGTATGCGTTCAATCCTTTCTGAAAGACTTTGGGCTTGGTAGTCGGAATTCTAGGCAACATTCGCTGTTTCTATTCCAGACTTATGAAGCCTCAGCAACTCCAGATGTGTGCTTGTCTACCTTCGTGGGCCTGCGTGCATGATGTGTGCTTTTGGTTTGTTCCGGACCCCGAAACCCAAATGACCCACAAACCCTGCGCTTTGTATGGGTGCCAATTGCGCTCTATGCCCTGGACCTGTATAACCCTATGCTACACCTACGTAACCACATATCCAGAATCTCTTTGCATTCCTCGGTTGCTGGGCTGCCATATGCCCCCAAAGCGGCCAGAACGCTCCCCTGAGTTGAGTTGGTTGTGAGAGAGAGAGAGAGAGAGAGAGAGAGAGAGAGAGAGAGAGAGAGAGAGACACAGGAAAAGGGATGTGCTCTAACTCAACCGAAACGAGAGAATGGTCCCAGCTGATGCACATGATGCTCGTCGCTTTTGGGTGCCACGGTGCCTCGTATACTGGAAGGGGGGTGGCAGGGTCAGGGGGGGGTGGGGGCTAGGGGGGGGTAGGGGGGGCAGGGGGGGGGGGGGGGGGGGGGGGGGGGGGGGGGGGGGGGGGTGGGGTGAAACCATAAACCTCTAAAGGGGTAGCTCTAACAGGTACCTACAGCAATGGCTGCATGCTCATACATATACATTCCGCTGCCCATTGGCTCACAGTGGTTTTACCATATTGAGACAAGACAAGCTCTCCTTGCGTAGCAAGACAAAACAACTACTGTCCGTGTGCAGGGCGCTGCCCTTTGATCCTTAGGGAATAAACTGGTCATACACCTCCTTACAAGGAGTATCCCTTGGGGGTGTATCGGCACAGTTTTCTGGTAGCGGAGCCCGGAAAGGGCCGCCCGCCTCACAAAGTCCGCTACAGCGGTCGGCCTCGCCGAACGCTTAACCAAGCGGACAAGAGGCAGCACAATGTCGAGCTCGCATAGCGAAGCCGACGGCAGTTCCCAGTCCTCCGGGGGATATGAGAACGAAGAGACCTCCCAAGGTCCAGCTACTTATGTCGCACAGTCATATGCAACATCTGACCGCATGCTTGCATCATTAGGCATAACGCCCAAAATCGCGCCTGCCTATGATGGCACCACCTCGTGGTTTGAGTATGAACAGTTGATTGACGACTGGTGCGATATAACAACGCTGGATGATACCAAAAGAGGTCCGTCTCTCAAGACGAGGCTCTCCGGATTGGCCGCAGTACAAAAAGAATCACTCAACCGAGAAAGGCTTGCAGCCCCAGACGGAGTAGATTACTTCAAGAAGAAGATGCGTCCATTTTTCGTGAAAGGAGAACAGTACGTTTTCCTGTGGCGTTTCTCGGCCTATTCAAGGCATGGAAGGGCAACCAAGACTTTGTGACTTGGATTGCTAAGTTTGAGATCGTGCTACAGCGCGTGAGAAACTCATGGATGGATCTCTTACCAGAGATAATTCTGGAAGATGCCCATCCTGATTTCATGCAGGCTGTGCAAGCAGATCAAACCTTCATGCGCCTACAGGATGCAACCGAGAGAGACACATACGCCGCACGTTTCTTCGAAACATGGAACAAGGAACGCCTTGATAATCATCGAAGAGCGTTTCCTCTAAATGATAATCTCCTAGCTCTCCTCTTCCTAGTGCAGTCCGACCTAAATGAGATGCAACGTGAGAGGTTGGTAACAGCATTGACCAACCAAGGTTACCGAATTGAGACCTACACGTACCCTATAGTACGGCAGACCATGTTCGATCAGTTCTCAACGACCAGAACTGGTCTGCAGGATCCCAATATTCGGCACACTTCTCACAAGAAGGACCGCCATGGAAGGAGAGATCAACGCCGCAAACGCGGAGGTCGAAACTTCCTCATCCTCGATCAGGGTGAATACGACGGAGTCGATGGATTCTGGCTCCAAGACGAAGACACCCTTGAGGAAGGCTTTCTTGCCGCCGAGGATGAAGAAGCTGTCTTCTGGACAGTTGACGACCATGAGCCTTCGTTGCAAGGAGATTCAAAAAGGGAAGAAGACCAAGAATGCGTCCCGGATCACCGGGAAGAGCAAAGGGTGGCAAGCGAAAAGGACGTGGCCGTTTTAGGTCATACCGCGGAAAAGGGAGAGCCAACCAGGCAGAACATGATCCAACTGATTCCAGCTATTTCGGTAAAGGTAAAGGAAAAGAAAAAGGAAAAGGTGGAAAAGGCAAAGGAAAAGGAAAGGACAAAGGAGATAAAGGAAGCTCCTTCAAGGGTACAAAGGCAAAAGGCAAAGGTAAGGATACAGCTAAGTCTGCCTCCTTACAAGGAGACCAAACTGGATCTCCACAGGCCTATGAAAGTTCCACCGCACCGAGCTGGGATTCATGGTATGAGGACAGTTATTATACTGACTCCAGTTGGAATTATGCCGCTTATGACGATCAAACGTCTTATACATACTATGCATCACAAGCCTCACGAAGAAAGACACGGA